TACAGAGAAACCCTGTCTCGTAAAACAAAAAAACCCCAAAAAACAAAAAACAACAAAAAAGAAATACTAAAAGAACACTACTGGCCAAGGAAATTGTTGAGGTTATTGTTAGATTCATAACAGTATTAGAATGTCAGTGCCTACTGCTCAAGATGAAATATCCTTTGGATATAGGACATGGGGACATCAATCATCAACCATGATGGCTAACTTTCAAAGTACTAGGAGATTTCTTCCATGTTGTTATTGTAGAATTTGGCAATAATCCTAATGTAAACTCTGTGTGATGCACTGTTAAAATGCCAGGTAAGATGTGCCTGTTGGCATTACAATGGCAGCCCTTTCATGAATTTTAGAAAAAAACCCTTCCAATAGGATTAATACCATTCCACAGGACATAACTCTTATCTAGAATCATAAAAGAAAAAAAAGCTTGTGAGTAGGGTATTAATTGGTCCCCATGAAGATAGAACTGCTGTTAAATTCAGGTTACATGTCTGTCAACTTTCCTTCTAGATATTTGAATTTATGTCCACAAATTATTCCTGCTGTCACCTTCAATCAGTTATGGGGACCAATTACTTTTTTCAGTGACTGGTATATTGTAAAAACTCATAACTGGCTATATTCCTAAGAACAAGTGACTATTGCTGTGGCATGATGACTAATAGTGAAGGAGGACGCATAGGCAGGCTATCCAGGCAGTGAGTAGGTAGAAGGAGGAATTTAGGGTTGGGAAGAAAAAGAAAGAGATGCCAGAGAGATATCAGGGGCCAGCCAGATAGACATGGGGGAAGCGGGAAAGTAGGACATATAGAAAAGAAAGGTAAAAAGCCCTGAGGCAAAACATAGATGATTAGAAACAGGTTAAATTAAGTTGTAAGAGCTAATGTGGCAGTCCAAACCTAAGACCAACCATTCATTATTAATAATAAGTCTCCATGTCTTTATTTGGAATCTGGTTGGAGGACCAAAGAAAATTCCAACTACAGTTCACAGGTCCCCAAGAAGAATAATACAACAAGGCAGAGATAGATATGCAATCATTTGTACACATTAACAATTTGCTAACCTACATTTATCCTGCATTAAAATTGACAATAACAGAAGAAATAATTCTCTGCAGACTCTTCTTTCTGTGTATTTCAATCACAAGGGTAATTGAAATACACAGGTTCTTATGTGTTTCTTCTTAAACCATTTATTTAATAATTTATATGTTGAGTGTTTTATGGTGTGCGTGTGTGTGTGTGTGTGTGTGTGTGTGTGTGTGTGTGTGTGTGTGTGGTCAGAACATGTATAGAGGTCAGGGGAGAATTTAAGAGAGTTAGTTTAAGCCAATAAATTTTTCTGCAATGATGGAAATCTTGCTTGTTTTTATCTAAAAATATATTAGCCACAAATGTCATGTAGTTGTTGATTAATTGAAATGTGACTAATTGCAAGTGAGGAATTGTGGAATTCATTATGATTAATTGATTAAAATTGAAATAGCAATATGTAGCAAATATCTACTACTTCAGTTATCTGAGATATATAGGGAATATTCTATATAACTAAAATGTATTCAAAAACAATTTCAAAAACTGAACAAATCAATTAAGAACAATGGATATATCATTTCTCATATGTCTATGACTTCAAAACACATCTATGATTTCCTTTTCCTATTGTGAGGAATGAAAGTTTTTCACACTGTGGTGGAAATATTCATATAAATGAAAGAAATCAGTTCAAATAGAATTATGTCCACCCATCTACAAACTTGAGGTCACTTTGTGTTAAAGGGCCAGTTATAAATTATTTTCATAATCAAACTGCTTATTCCTTTTTGTAGATTTTCCAAAGTTTAATGTTATGTTTTGTGAAGAAATACAAATGGATAGGTAAAATGGCTGGAAGTTTATTTTTATTTACCCTAATGAATATCCAGGAAATTAACAGAGATGTTAGTTTGCAAAAGATTTCACATTTTTTTTGTAAGGCTTTAACACAAACATATTCTGTTGTAGTCTATTCCTCCAGAGGCAATATTAAATATTCTATAATTTTGTCATTAATTTCTTTTACTTTTACAGAACATGGGATCAGTCATGGTGAAAATATTTGTGTAATGGAAATTTACTTAAGTCAGTGTGTGTGTGTGTGTGTGTGTGTGTGTGTGTGTTTGTGTGTGTATAAAACAGTGCATTTTGAGAGGTGATTTCCAGGTACACCATTGAATAATAGCTCACACATGAGATCTAGGGAACTGAGCTTGTAAGTCAATGACAGTAATATGAGCTTTTTTATTTGTATATAATATTCAATATAACTTGACTAAGCACATAGGATATTGATAAGCAAATACACTAAATGGCATGTTCAACTGAATCTGTGAGCATTCAAACAACCAACCATTCAGTGTAAAAATATGAAAATAATGTATATTATGGAAAGATTCGCTCAGTCACACCTGTCTCCATCCCATAACATTCATTGCTCTATTTGTGAGATTATAAAAGTACAATATTTCTTCCTCCAGCACTCCCATACAGCCCCATTACTATCAAATTCCTGGTTTCCGTTTTTATAAATTGTTATTACATGCATATGTGTATTCATTTGTAGAAAACTGAACAATGGAGACAAATACAGCATATCAACTTTTAGTAAAATTGCAAGCATAGAGTTGGGAATAAACTGTACATTAGTACATGTAGTTTGGCAAGTGTTCTGTGAATTTTTATGAGTTGAATAGAATTAAGCACACTGAGTTTTGAAACTTGTCTTAGTCCCTCATTTTGTATGTCAAATTTTGATATTACCTGTGTTTTAAACTGATTTTATTAGTAAATCAACCAAGAGATTTTTATGAAGCAAGCCATTGACACAGTGTCTAATATGTAAGTTTGTCATAAAGAAGTCAAATTTCGTAGTAGAACATTTATCTATTAAAATTTGTGATTATGTATAGACAAATGATGAATTTAATTTAGATATTCTGTAAAACAATGAGTTAACACTTATTTACACATATTTGTTAAACTTATAGCAAAAAGTATTGTATGATCGTAAGTGAATAAATGTTGTTTTATTCTAATAGTTTCTACATCCCTTAGGTATTATTATAAAAAAAACTTGTCAATACATAAGCTTGCTCAATGCCCACACAATTTAATACATTGAACATAGATACTGTGCATCATAAAAAAGCTCTTTCAAAGCAATTTCTTTTAAAAATGAAAATAAAGTTCAAAATGTACCTTCTTATACTTAGATATCATATTACCAACTCGGTTTTTCAATACAATTTCCAAATTTTTGTGAGGTTGTTTCTTATTAATGGATAGCCAAATTAAAAATAATGGGAAATGCATCCTATCATTTAAGTAATATCTTTGGGCAATTTGTTCACAAAATCAATTTTACTTCTCAGTTAAAAGTGTGTGAAAATATTAAACAAATAGTACAATCAACACATTAAGAGCTACATATGATAAACAGACTTCTACTTAACCACTGAAAAAATGAGGAGACTTTATAAAAACTATCACTTTTCAAGTTGAAGTCCATCAATTGTAATGCATTTCCTGACATCATATAACCTCCTGTACAAGCTTAATTTCATCGACCTCTCCTCTGAATTCCTCTAATATTTGGTGATTTACATATATTATCCATTAGTTTGCCTTCTTAATACACATTAAATTGAATACTCATTTACCTCATATTTAGGTTGAGAGCTCACGGGAGTTAGAAAATGTATCTTATCTCCCTCATTATATATGAAAGATAAAATATTTTTATAATAAATGAATGGAGAAGGAGTTAATTAATAGACTTGACTGATTGACTCTTCTTCTACCCTTATATCATCTCCTCATCAAAGGAAATAAATATTGGAAAGTATAGTTTATTTGCTATTTGGAACGGAAGAACAAAGCATGAGACAAAATAACAGGAAACAGTAGTAATTATAACATATAATTTATTATTTATCTAATCGCCATATACTTTTGAAAAATTATCATATGTGATTTTGACTGTCTGACAAATTATCAGAAAGATTTCCTTAATATCTATTGTTTTTTTCATTTTATGCTTATATATGTGTAGTCTGCTTGCACAATTGTGTATGCTTTGTACATGTGCATGCACCTGTATCTGCATATGAGTGCATGTGCCTGGGTAGCTCAAGGGTTGTCATCAAATGTCTTTCACTATGTTTCCCTGTTACATTTTCAGACAGCCTCTCACAGAAGCCAGTGCTCACTGACAGGCTAGCATGATTGGACACCATGCTCCACGGATGTGGCTGTCTCTACATTGTCAGCACTCTGGTTACAGAACTTCATGATAATGCTTGGCTTTTTTTATGTGGTATTGGTAATCTGAACTTAGGTCTTCATGCTTGCATGCTAGCACTTCCTCCATTTCCTCAACCCTGCTCTATTGATTTTAGCAAACATTTTGTTCATACTATGTCTATTTAACCAATAGATAAATAGAATAGAACGTTACTGTGATTTTCATTTTATAGTTGAAAAAATACATTTAGGAAAGTTACTTTCATAATTCAGGTCATTCAATCAGTGGCAAAATAGAATTGGGACAAAAGCCTGTCTGAGTGTAAGTAAAGTACTGTTAAGAATACCTTGTAAGTTTCTCTCAAAGTTCAAAAAATTGTACAGTGTTGCATTGCATCACACCACAAATAATAATGTGTTTTCCATCACCCTCGACCCTGTGATTAGTTTGGCTCTACTACCTATACACTGTGCATTTGATTTCAAGACACAATACTTGATTAAAGAGATATCTGTGGCAGTAGAAAGAAAACAAACCCAAACAATAACAAAACCTGGCAGGCCTAGTAAGAAACCAGATTCAAAAATACTGCTCTGCAATGGAGTCAATGATCTATGTGTTATAATTGACGATTTAGTGGTACTACTGATATTTATCAAAGCTTGTATATAATTGATACCTTTGTCTTCTTCAGAAAGGTTAATTCCTACCTTTATAACAGAAGCACCAGCTCTGGAGAGTGGACTGTGAATCTGAGCTGCAGCAGCCATGTTGGCAATAGTATTGAGATGATTCATCTGATTCATTGCCATGGCAACTGATGCGGGAGGTAAGCTGACTGGAAGTAGGGGATGAGGCATCATCATAAATGGCAGATCCAGACCTAAAAGGGACAGTGTTCATTAAAGTTGTTATGTTATAGTGCTATGAAGGTTTTCTAAAGCATCTTCATCCATTATTACTAGCAATTTACAGTGTAATGTATGATAGTGAAATTTTGGGCAATCAACAGAATCAGTAAGATTTTACAATGTTTTATATCTAAAAATATCTTCCTATGTTAACATAATTTCTATTGTGTCACTTTCTTTAACAGTTTTAATAGGTGACTTATTAAGGCAGAATACATATTGCCTAAGATTCAAATTATTACAGAAAATATTTCAATAAAAGGAATGCTTATAACTGCAATTTTAAATCTTTCTTAATAAAGAATAAGTATCATGCTAAAATACAAACCCACTTTTCATTTTATTAGCAAATGTCAGTGTTGTTTAATTTTACCAGGAATTCATTGCTTTCTCCTGAAAGTTGAAGTAATTTCCGTGTGTTTTATATATCTTAAAGAATAACTCTCAAATATTATGCTTTCTATTTGTGATAGTCATAGACATGTCATTAGCTAAAATGTTGCAAACTAAAATAGTTGTCTGCTTAAAGCTTCTCAAGTTGGCACAGTTTAAAAGCATCTTTGAACAGATACAAGACAAAGTTAGGATAACTATATGGATATTAGCATTTTAAAATATATTTAAAAATTGTTCTGCTACAGTACTTTTCCTATTTTGGATAGAGCTCAAAAACAATACTCTTTAACATATGTTATAAAATATCATTACTTATATTTTTACAAATAATTATGGGCTATGGAAATATTATTATGGACAGCACTCATATTGATCCTATGTACAATAAAAAATAGTAATATCTAATTTTTCCTCTGTGCCATTCTTTCATTTTTTCTTTCTTCTCGTATCATAACAAAAAGGGAACAAGAAGCCATTGATATCTAATTTATCAAAACATTAGTAGTAGTAATAATATCACTCAAACATGTGATTCAGGAAACTATTTTCTCCCATTCTGGGAATGTATATGTTATACATAAAATTTTAAAATGAAATCCAACTTAAGTAGACGCTGAAAGGAAGAACTGAATTCAAGTGTGACAGTTGATCTAAAACTGTTAGGAAGTACACTGAGAGCCTAAGGTAGCAAAACACACTTCCAAATTGTAGGCTTTTGCAACACTTAAGTGAATACTGCAATTTTAAAAACTTCCTAAATAATGTATACACCTGCCCCCAATGTTTCTTTTGAAGACAGCAATAAAATGCAATTACTAGAGCTGCCCAAGGGCTAAAAGATTCCCAGAAATTTAAATTATATATGAAACTCAAAGAAAAGGAATGCATTTGGACTCCTTATGAGTAGATGCCACATAAGATACATTAAAGGTCCCTATCCTTATTGGCTTACAGCATTCAACTTTTAAATACATTTTAGGAACAATTTAGCACACTAATATATTAGCTATAAAAGATTTTTCTTGGGATTATTAAGTTATCAGAAAAGTCTCAGCAGAAGAATAACAACATTGACTTCAAAATGGCCTTCTCTACTATATGCATGTATTTTTTTCTCAATGGAATAGTAACAATGAGTCTATTTCAATTGATACTTTCTTTCTACTACATTTCTATATAATCTACAACAATCTTTGGAAGTTATTGTTATTGAATTTACTTTTAAGCTTATATTTATAGATTGATATATAAACAGTTGTATAATTATGGGTATAAAGTGAAATCACAATGATGTCTTGAATGTGGAAAACAAACATTCAACCTATTCACATGCTTAAACACTTAAAATTCTGAAGTGTATTATGCTAAATGAAATAAACTAGACACATAAATATCACATTATATCACTCATATGTAAAAACTCAAAGTAAAATTTTCTTGTTAGTCATATAAAATTACTTGCAAATATATGTGTTTGTATACTTTACTAATATATTTTAAGCTGTCGTGATAGAGTATTTAGTAACATATGATAATTAATTATTAGTATTCACCTTTATCCTAAAAACCATTACCTAATTTTACATATAGCGAGCATCAATAATCTCAAAAGGCTCTCTCCACAAATTCAAAAACATTTTAGACCTTGATTCTTATTTATATACACAGTATTTTAGTCACAAATTAAACAATAAAATAAACTTTGATATCAATGACTTCTTTATTATTATTTAATAAGCTTTAGTTCAATTTATACTTCTTCAATGATGCAATAATCTTTTATCATTTTCAAATGACATTCCAGCATCACCCAGAAGCCATCTGGCCACATCAAGGAATGTGCTTACTAAGTTCAATTGACATACAAACTGTATGCAAACTACAAACAGAATTTAGCGGTGAATTGACAGTTTTAAAATACAATTCAACAAATATTTTTTTGTTGTTGTTGTTTTGTTTTTCGAGACAGGGTTTCTCTGTGGCTTTGGAGGCTGTCCTGGAACTCGCTTGGTAGTCCAGGCTGGTCTCGAACTCACAGAGATCCGCCTGCCTCTGCCTTCCGAGTGCTGGGATTAAAGGCGTGCGCCACCAACACCCGGCCTTAACAAATATTTTAAATAACTATGAAGGACTTACAAGTGACACTTTTAGAGCCCGACCTGAAATAACTAATTATCAATCAACTATAATTCCTTGAACACAAGCTAAAATTACCAGCCAGATTATTTCTATTGAGTCTTTCCATTTCTACAGTGATATCATACAGGAATTCCTTCAATAACAATTTCTTATGTCCCTGGTTATTCTTCCTAAGCCATTCCACTTACTCCTCCACTCCAATTTGTACACTTCCAATGACTACTTATTACCACTAGAATAAAGCACAACTTCCATGAATTTGATTATTGCATTTGTAGTTTTAGTATCTCATTATGTTTTTGCATGGGTTCTTCACTCTATGCCCATAGTACTATTTATATTTCTCTCCAGAGGTAACTCACCATAACATTATACCACATAGATGACTGTCTCCGGAATTATATCTCTAACCCAACTCAATACAACAAAAATAATTTTTTTCATGACAATATTTGAAGCAGGTTTTATTGTCCCCACTTTATATTTATATTTATTTATTTGATTGATACACCAATATATCAATTATTTTTATTTTCATGGTCATATCTTTGTTATTGTGTGTAAAGTATATTACTGTATTCAAAAACCCCTAGAAATTTTTGCTTCTAATATTTTCATGGTTTTGGCATTTGTGCTTACAACTGTGATCCATTCTTAGTTAATTTTTGTTAAGATTGTATGGTCTTGTCTTAGAGTCAATGATTTATTTTTGTATGGGGATTTCCACTTGCTCAGTGTCATTTGCTAAAACAACTACTCTATGCATTTCTGTGCTTTCTCCTTCACTAAATAATAACTGATGACATTTATGCAGGCATGTTTCTGACTATACTATCCTACATTTTTAAACCACAAGGTGTGATACTCTCAGTCCACTGACTATGTTAGTCTTCTCCATTGCATTGGCTACTTTTGATATCTGATTTCTGTATACATATTGAAATTAGTGTGTGAGTAAGCGCAAAATAATTTCCTTACATTTCAACCATGATTGTATTGAATCCGTATTTGAAATTGGGAAGAACTGACATTAAAGTGATAATAAGCCTTTTTTCATGAACATAGAATGACACTTCATTTGTATGTTGGATGTTTTATCATACATTTGTAGTTTATTTTCTATAGATCTATTATATGCATTCATGTTTTGCTTATGTAAAAATATATTTTTAAATTATAGATTGAAATGGATTATTGACAGAACACAGTAAAGCAACTGGTATTACATAAATTTGTTTACCCTGAAATCTTACCTTATTAGACTAAAGAAAATATTGTGTAATTTATGGTCTGTTTTTCCATACAGAAACATGTCATTATAGATAAGTTTACTTTTCACAATCAATATTATTTTTACATTTCTAGGTTAAATAATTGAATATTATTGAAGATTTTACATTTCATTCATAGTTCCTTTTTATTGTGATGCTATTGATTTTGCCAAGTGACCAATGCTGACCTCATAAAATATGTTAGAAGACCCCTTGATTTCTATATTATTGAAGAGATCATAGATACCTACTGACAATCTTCCCTTAACATTTAATATTCTGCTTTGAATACATCTTGACCTGGAATTATATGTTTTATAAGCATACTAATTATATATTATATATTCAATTCCTTTAATGCATTATAAACACTTTTGAGATTATTTAGTCCTTCTTGGAATAGAATTTCTACAGTGTATCTTTCAAGAAATTTCATCTAGGATATACAAATATATGATAGTTTAGAATATTTTTCTATTTTCACGTAATGATAACTCTGTTTCTGATATTAGAATAACATGTCGTCTTTCTTTTTCTAACCTACTGAGAGGTCTATAAGTAACACTGACCTAGTTAAAGGATTAACTTTCACTTCAATTGCTCATCTAAGCTAAATTTCTGTTTTTAATTTCACCAAATAGTAAAATATTATTTTTAATTATTTAATTATTTATTGTGTATACAGTGTTCTGCCTGCATGCCAGCAGAGGACACCATTCAAGGCGGTTGTGAGCCACCATGTGGTTGCCGGGAATTGAATGCAGGACCTCCGGAAGAACAGTCAGTGCTCTTAACCACTGAGCCATCTCTCCAGCACCTAAAATATTATTTTTTAATTGTTTCCGAATTACCTTGAATTCATTCTATTTATCTTTTTGTAGGAGAAAGTTCAGACATAACCTGGCAATCAGTCTACTGGTATGCTGCACTTCTAAATAAGAAGCATGGCATATCATGCTTATGGATATTCCCAGAGCTCAGAACACTGAACGTGCTATCCAATCGTAGTCCTTAGGCTTCCATGATTTTCGCATGCAATAAAGCACTTCCCTGAAACCATCTCAGGAATCGTCATCTCCACACCCTTTCCCAGCCCACAGGTATTGCTGACTTGTTAGGGGAATGCCATGGTCAGGTCATGATTGCTAGGGCATACTTTTTAGTTT